TGATGAAACAAAGAAGTTGTATTTACGTGCCCGTGCCTAGTTTGTGTTTCGATGATTTACCGTCTAAAAAAAACCTGGCATGTCTCACACCCCACGAGAGGGCATCTCGCACCCCCAGGAAGGTCAGTGCACCCCAGGTTAAGGACCACTGTAGTAGAGGAAGCGCCAGAGAACACTTCTCGGAGGGTATTTGGGGCAATTTTTTTATGCTGGTCAGATGCCTTGACAGGCGGTAAGAGTACACACACATTACCCCCGCCACCACCACCACCACCACCACCACATTCAACCTGTGCATCGACTTACTGTAGGCATATCCGTGCGTCCTGTCGAGTGGACAGATGCGGCGGTGAGGATTCAAATCAGTGAATCCATCGTATCGACTGCCGCCGTGCCGGGAGATCGGACGGGGAGGGACCTCTCCGCTGTGCGAGTCCCGGGTGCGCTGACAATTTACACTGCGGCCGAAAAAAATTGCGCAGATTTCGCGCAGATCGCATCGACGCGCCGCTCGGCACGAGAGTGGCGAGCCGATTGACAATCGCCGACGAGCATCACCTGAGAGCGGCACGCGCGGCACAACCCCCCTTTGATTTAGCGCAACGTCAATTCCTCTCCGCCGCAATGCAACCCTGCGAGAGAGTCAACACATCGCAATAATATGCGGAGGGGGGCACCGTGCGGTTTTGCGCACAACAAAAAAAGAACGCGGGCCATAGGTTGCTCTTGTCTGTTCATTTCACTTCTCCTTAAACCACGAAATTTAAAGCACAGCGGTGGCCCCACCGAAATTTCCTTTTAAGCAATTCAACTATCGATTACCGTACTTCTGATGTGAAAACACACAGGGAACCCTGGTCCTGTTCCGTAAAAGCAGAGGGTGTGGGCGGGGATGTTAAATGTTCAGCTCTTGGGCTTTTTTTAAACATATATATTTTTAATAATTCATACAGGACATTGTGCCAACTGTAAAGTCTTCTTAGAAGTTTAAAGTTTACACTTGTCTTTGGGCTGTTCAAGTGTAAGTGATTCTGCCATTAGAGGCAGTTGATTAAACAGGGTCTTGCCTTGCCTCGGAGGCCTTGCCCCCACCCCCCACCCCCAATTCTTTTTTTCATTAGCATTTCAAGCTTTGCTCATGAGTTTTGGATGCATCACTCTTCACCCAGGGCATATCTCCCCCCTCCCCTCCCACATCCCCCCCCCCTCCCACATCTCCCCCTTCCCACATCTCCCCCCTCCCACATCTCCCCCCTCCCACATCTCCCCCCTCCCACATCTCCCCCGTCCCCTGCCACATCTCCCCCATCCCGTCCCCCGTTTCCCCCCTCCATCTTCCTACCAGAGAGCCGCACGCCAACAAAACCCATCAGTCGGAGCCCGTCTCGGCGGCACTTAACAATGCGCGCGTGTTGTCATCATTAGAACAATTCACCGGGGTCGTGAGCCCTTCTTAACGAGCAGCTGTATCCCCACCCACCTCCCGAAAAACCTCGACACTGCCTATTGCGGCAAGCATCCTCAGCACCAGCTCAAATCAAACCCCTGCTCTTTGTCAACGTGCCAGGCTGCACGCAATTACACGCACTAACAATAACAACGCCTTAGGTTTGTTGTTCTTGTTGCGCTTGCTGCACTTGAAGCTTATTGTATGAGTCACGACGGTCGTGAGATTTAAGTGGCAACACTGGAGGAGGGGGCGCGGATGCAAGTCGAGCTGCAACATTGCAACACTTCATGGTCGTAACGCAATAATAAAAAAAGTGTTTATTTTTTTAAAATGATTTTAGAGATTAATATAATTTTTTTAATGACCGTAGAAGCGGTTTTGGAAGTGGTAACAGCGATTTGGTGAAGTGGTGGGCGTAATGGTTCACGCACTGTGCCGCGAACGTGGGAACCGCAAGTTTGATTTTGCTGCCATGGTTAAAATAACGAGCAAATTACATCCGAAGCGTTCCTAGCCTCCCCCACGTTTACCAACATGTCCTTCACCAGCATGGTGATGTATGGTCAAGTCCTGCGGGGAGGCCTCTATCCAGAAGTGGATTAAATCAAAACAAACTGTGGATTATAATTAGTTTTAACTAGTCATTGTTTCAAAACGCAAAATGTGTGTTCATTAACTACAGCACCAGTATTAGATGACGAACCGACGCAACGTATGCCATCAATAACTGGCGAGAGATAATCTGTCGCGCCGATATTACCATTGTCTCGTTGCAAAAGCTGTTACAACACCACAGCAGAGCCCACAATATGACTTTACCCTCGGCGAGAAAGAGCAAGGCATCCTTAAGGCGTGGAAAAACACAGAGCAAATCCACTGGGCCACGAGGTGAGATGGGTGCTGTCAGGTCCAAGCCATTATTTACTGATGAAGAGCACGTGTCTGATCCCTAAGCAGGCGTGCGGAGGACCCAGGACGCATTGTGCACAGGGACTCGGGCTAACATGCCAGTGCATCACCTGTAATGATGGGAACATGGCTTACAGCGGTATTTTGCAGGATTTTTTGCCCGCCAGGCGGGGTCCGATGCCTGAGCGAGCGAGGGAGGAGGGAAGAACACGAGAGAGGGCGGCGGCAGCGGTGGTGTTTCGTTGGTGAAGGAAAGGGCAAGGATAGATTCTAAATAATTGAATCAACCTGGGATAAAATGGTTTTAAGTTTTCAAGTGGAGGGCCAGGTCACCAAAAACAGGTACCAATTGTTTTGCTCAGTTTAAATCTGAGAAAGCATCGTTTTTAATTACGAGACTGGAATGAAATCCCATATATTAGACAGTATTTACTAAAGTTTGGAGCGTTGATGCAGTGGATAAGCACACTGTACTATGGGCCTAGATATCCCGAGTTCAATTCCTGGCCACTGTGAACATCAGTGGGCAGGTGATATCAGAACTATACCTTTTCACCATCCCGCATTGACTAGTGTGGCAGATCTAAAATAAACTCCCAAGATTGACGTGCCGTGGGAAGGCCTTCATCCATTGGTGGATTTACAACGTTATAGGTTGTGCACCGTTATAGGTTGTACAACTTTATAGGTTGTACACCGTTATAGGTTGTACACCGTTATAGGCTGTACAACTTTATAGGTTGTACCCGCTGTTGGTATTGAGAGACCATGCGCATTATATTAGGCAAGCATTCAGGGAACATTTTAAGAGTTATTTTATGAAAGCAATGCACGTTTTATTAGAGACATTCAGAAGCAACCACACGTCTTGACTACTCTGAACTCTGCCAATATGGTGTGAAGAAAGCAATTACACCTTTTTTAAGATCAATGTTTTTACTAAATTTGCTTGAAATTAGGCTTTTAAGTATTCCCCGAAAAATTGTTTGAACGAAGTTTAAATATTCAATGGACGTTGAGGTTTCAGAACAGCGAGAAATGTAATGTGTACGATATTAATGTTACTTTAATATGTATTGTAAATTTATACTAAGTGCTACAAGAACTTGTACGACTACTTACTTGTAAGAGCATTTAAAGTACACATTTGCACCCCGATTATGAAGCAAAGGCATTACATTTCACAGGGTAAATTACACGTAAAATTGACCGTTACAATTGTGTACAATTAATCAGCCCGATATATCGGACGTTTTATAAATGTAATGTCTGTATGAGTGCGTGCAAAGAATAGATTGAGGCGGGATAAAAATAAAGAAGCCTAAAAAAATAGTTTTATTTTTCCATTCCAATGCATTAACATAACAAGTGTTGTCAGTTCTTAATAATGCAAGGCACAGGACTTGCTCAAAATTAATTACATTGGTCCACACGTTGAACAATACGCATGCCATGCTCACTCCTGGGAGTTTCGCTTGCCAATATAAACAAAGCCAGGTAATGGTACGAGGCACCGCGCTGGCCCAGAGAAATTACTGTAAGTACTGTAACACTCTCGTGGATTTTTAACCCCGAGCACAGCGCTTCCTTTATACCGCGCGTCACTTAGAATGTCGCCAAACATTCCAGATGTTCGGTCAAGCACTGCACCAGTCCATTATGACGCATTTCATTTTCGACGAGGTAGAAATACGTTTTGTAATAAAATCTTTAAAAAATGCTGCGAAGCAGACAATGCCTATCCACCGCTGGATGAAGGCCTCCCACGCACTGTTGCCATCCCTCGCGGTCCTACGATGCCACAGTCTATCTCGTTGCGGCATGGCAAATGAACATATTGCTCCATAAACAATTCAATACAAACCAATTTAATATTTACACTGCACAATAACATTGCGTAAAACAACACGTTAATCCACTGCTGGATGAAGGCCTCCCCAGGTCATGTCAGCCATGGGAGTTGTTAAACCATACTTCACCATGCTGGTCAGTACAGGTCGGTGAAGCGGAGTTTACCTAGGACCGGTTCAGGTATCACCTCGCCCCGGATATTAGACGTTGCTGGGAATTGAACTCAGGCCACCGGGTTCAAAGCGCAGTGCGCAAACTGCTGTGCCACCACTAAATATAGAGTACAGTATTTAAAATCCAATTGGGCTCTTAACGCGTTCCCTTTGATACAATTCTCATGCTTTCATTTTGGAGACTTAAAATTGATGAATGAAATCACCCAAACAACAATTCAGACTCCACTATGAACATAGAACAATGAAAATAAATCATTAGTCAACAAAACTTCAAACAAATGTCAGAACTCAAGCAGCTACACCCAAATGCCACAAGCCTTTTGCGAGAATTTTTTTTTTGCAAAGTCCAATCTCAAAGCTACACAGTTTGAGCTGCATTCATCTCGGCTGGAACCAATCAATAACCTCTTCTTAGGTTCAGTCAGATAAAACTGTAATCAATTGCACACTTTCAGTTCTTCCCAGATACACCTATGTTATTCTTTTTTTACACAGCAGACACACAGTTGGAAAGACAGCCAACGGCTTGATGTGTATATGAATGTACAAAGACAATGATCCCCCCTGATCGTATTAACAGGCTGTTTGGGGCAAGTGCTGTTCGTGCCTTGCACCTTTGAAGACCTGCACGGCAGACGAGGGAGTGGATGGCCAGCAACACGCACGTCCGGCCGCCTTTGTCCCCCCGGTGACGAGGTTTACTACACACCGCACCAGGTACTCATTTGAGGCCGAGTCGACCTAGGGGAGGCCAAGGAGCTTGTGCAGATAATTGACATCAGTGTTTGCCGTGAGCAGGAATCAAACTCTGGTTGCCGGGTTTGTCGTGCAGCACGCTAACCGCTACACCACCACTCCCCACTTTATGTCCACATTTTGAAGAATAGCTCCGAGACGAATCACACGGCTAAAGTACCATACTTTACACCAGGCGAATGCAGACGCTTTGTTATTTTACCAAAGGCTACTCACGTGCCAACGCACCACCAAACTTTTTTTTTATCTCGTGTATCATCGTATTCCGAAACAGATATTACCAAGTGTATTTTCAGCACACGGGCTCGAAGACCAAAACATTTGGAGTTAAACTACCAGCCCCATAAGAGCACATTCATCGAAACGCACTTGCAGCGATGTAAAACATTTCCCAACATACGCATTTGTTTTTATTAAAACATTGGGCTTTAAAAAGTAAGCTTCGCATCGGATTATAAAACATTTAAACGTAAAACCCGGCCTCGTTAGCTCAGCCGCAGTGAGCTACTCGCAATCAGGATGTTCCACGCTCAAATTTTAGTAGGGGGTTCAACTTGGCCCATCATTCCTCCGAAGTCAATCAATTATTGTACCACTTTACAGGGGCGAGAGGGGCGTATTATGGATGTACTGCATTTTTATCCTTAAACCATAGGAGTGTAAGCGTCTCCAGCACTGGCTCAGGGCTGTAAGCGAGAGATGAAGTACCGATGCCTCAGTGCTTGTTTGAACAGGATATCACTTTGACGTCACTTAATAATATATTTTACTCAAAACAATATTTTGGCCGAAATTTTGTGCAAAAGCTTTCAAAGGGGTAATGCAATTCAATGCACACGCAGAACATTATGGGTTTTTTTTTACCTGCACTGCCCAGCGGTAGCATTTCCGTCATTACTCTATCGACTAATAACAATTCCGCGTGTCACGCGGCAGCCCCAACGTTTCCCAGCAGTGCACGAAGCCCATACATTTACATTTCGCGAAGGGGGAAAGAAAAAAACACGCGCGCACACATTCTCCGCTGGCGGCAAAGCGCTCTAGCTGTTGTGTTGCTGTAGTTAACGGCAATCGCAGCAGCAGTCGCACGCGCGTGCGCTCAACGCGTGTGCTCAACGCGTGTGCCCAACGCGTGTGCCCAACGCGTGTGCCAACACGTGTACCAACACGTGTGCCAACGCGTGTACCAACACGTGTGCCCAAGCGTGTGCCCAATGCGTGTGCCCAATGTGTGTGCCAACGCGTGTACCAACACGTGTACCAACGCGTGTGCCCAATGTGTGTGCCAACGCGTGTGCCCAACGCGTGTACCAACGCGTGTACCAACACGTGTGCCCAATGTGTGTGCCCAAGCGTGTGCCCAACTCATGTGCAACGCGTGTGCCCAACGCGAGCGCAAGTCGGGTAAGGGCACGGGGCCACGTGATGCCGCACAGCCGTCTCGTTCCAAAACCACCGCTCGTGCCTCTTGTTAATCATGCCATCGTCGTTGTTAGATCCCTCTTGGCTTTTATTTTTACTTTCCTATAACGTCAGCGTTTGCTGTACTTGCCTGCGTGGCTAAACCCGGGGATTCTGCCGTGGTTGTTAATGGTCAACGCACGGGGATTACAATCCAGAGGTCCCTCGGTTTGATTCAACTTCCCGGAGTAACAGTTGACACAGCGGCCAAAGTTTTCTTTAAAATCCCACCTATGGTTCCGTCCGCCCACCAGTATAATTAATGGGTCCGTCACAGTTTATAAATCACCGAATAAATAAATGAATGAAGTGTGCGCACTCCCACGCTTTTGCATGACGTCTGGCCAGTGGTGGGAGATAAGAGGACAAATTACCCTCTTCGACACTGGCCAAACATCTCGGGGAAAAAAGTTGAGAGTACTCACACTTTACCCTACCACACACGACGTGCCCGGCGACTGCGGTGTACCCGTGTACAGGATCGACAGAGGGCACGGGACTTTAAGAAGCTTCCCCCCCCCTCCCACCGCCGCTGTTTCAAATGCCCCGTCAGGAGATCGGGGTCCATACCTACGACCTCCGGATTGTGAGTCCCGCATGAAAACCGCAGCAGCAGCAGCATCATCCCTGTTCATTCCAAAGCCTTCTCGAAACTTTCATTTTGATGTGCGCGGCGACCACGATGAGGCTGGCAGTTGGGGAGTTCACACAATCATCCGCGAGGATTCTTTCGATTGCTCGAGCCGCCACGAGCAGACGACACCTTAGGTTGTCACCCCGAGCACCCAGATTGCGCTCGGCAGTCTGACACAGCATTCGCCGTGGACAAAGAAACCCTCTCAGTGCAGGAGGCGTAATCTGAGCAGCGATCGTAAGCGGAACACAGATAGCGACCCGATCGGCTTAGCGCTGACAGACCGCTTATCTGGTTTAGTTACAAACTTGTTTGGCACCGACGACTTAGCAGTTCAATTACTTTTTTTAATTTAATTTACCGGGGGGGGGGGGGGGGGGAGGGAGTTGGGATGGAATTGGGCTTGTGTGTTTTATCTTCTCTTTGCCGTTTATAATTGACTATCGGTGAACTTGGACGAGAGCAACGAAGCGTAGAGAGTTTAGATTCACGCGAATGCAAGCGGGGGAAAAAGCTTAAAATGATACATAAACCATATACATTGCCTGCACAATAGTTCATAGGCAGTGATGATTAAAGGTTACAATTCATTTAATTATACTGCTATTTGGTTTTTAAAGTACATTTGAAGTACTTCCAAGAGGGAATTTGTTCTAATAATGAAGCATATTTTAGACAATTATATATGAAAGGCAGCGTGTAATATGAAGCATACGGTACGTAAAAGCTCATTCGTGGGTTTGGATTGGTGTTTGCGAGGACGTTTTGTGGTTTTGTCAGTTCGGTGAGACAGAATTGCACTACTCCTGTACCACATTATCCGCCAAAGAGCTAGAAATCACAGCACTCAAAAACAACTAAACTCTAACGGAATTGGGGAAGCTGCCGGATTATGATGGTTAGCAGCACAATGGACCTGCTATCCTGAGTTCGCCGGCTCGAAGTCCCCCACCTCTGGTCATCCAGCAGTACGCATGGGTACTGCTGGATGACCTGCCAATCAGTCGATTGGCAGGTTGTGTGTGGTAGGGTAAAGTGTCGGTATCCCCCGCCCCATCTTCCTCTGGAGGAGATCTCTAGAGCTTCTCCTAGTGGAGGCTCTTCTGCCAGCTATGTTTGTGAGCAAGGCAATACCGGGGCTGCACCTTTACCAAATAGAAATGCAATATGATTAAGTTACTTGAACTTCAACATCATCATCAGCCATGATCGATTCGATGTTGGTCGAAGGACGACCAAAGCCATCAACATCTAGCCGCACTGCCATTGGATGAAAGATGTGTGACCATATTTCACCACGCTGGTCAGTGTGGGTTGGTATTAATAACATTTGCAACCAATATCACCCAAGTTCCCTGCAGCATTAACATCTCACTGTAACGCATCTTCCTTGTTTAGCGCATGGTCCATGTATGACCTTCAGACCCGACATCAACTATTTTGACTTGTGCTCCAAGTTAAATTCCTGGCCAAGGCTAACATCAGTGGAAAGTTTCGTGAACCATGGGTCAGACAACAGCCCCCAACCCACCCATGACCGGCGTGATATGGGGAAGACTATCATCCAGCACTGAATAAAGAATTGCTGAAATGTATAATATTTTTAACACACCAGTATCATTCACAGATTGCATCACTGGGTATACTTTTGCGCGACAATGTGTGCTTACTAAATGAAGTTAACCATTAAAATAACTAACATTAGCTTCTATCAATAACCATTCATTAAAACCTAAACTTTTTCATTGATTCGATTAAATTGTCCTTAGTCCTTAATTTAATACAAAACTGTATTGTTTGTAAAAAGGATTTCAAGTCTTTTGCAAGGGTGGGAATCGTATTTTCTGGGCAATGTGTGGCCTCCAAGACTCGTTGCTTGGTTTTCAGGAGTCGAGACTTTATAATGCATGTCCATCATCCAATGCACTTTGTTCTTTAGTTGCTGGGTGACCAACGTCCATTTATCAATTTCCTCGGGTGTTGGAGGCAGCCACCACTGCAACTCCCACTTCACACAATCTGGGCGAGTTTGAGCTAAGGGTTAAGGAGTTATCTAAAAATAAATGACGCTTGTCTCTTAGTTCTTAGAAGTGAGAACGATTAGTCACCATTATCAGAAGGTAATGTATCAAGTTTGTTTGACACTACTGAAGGCCTTTATTTAAACACATTGATTCAACGCAGCTGTAAATATATTTTATTTGCAGTCCTCGCTGTTGGCATCCATTTTGACTCCTAGCTATGAGTCGGAACAAACTGAACGTGTAGTGGCCAGCCACATAAAATTCCCCTTGTATGTATGTTGAACTTCTTTCACATCGCACATATCCAACCGTGCTTGTTGGAGGTGTGGGAGAAGGACAACAAACTAAACACAAAAGACTGTTCTAAAGAAATTAATTTTCAACCTAGATTTAAAAGTGCATAGCTCCAGTGGCTTCCTAATATCAGAAGGAAGAGCGTTCCAGACGGCCGCAGATGCGCATCTGAAATCGCGTGATGCAGTGACCGTCTTCATTTCATGGCGAGCCAGAAGCCGCTGCGAGGAAGAATTGAGTTCGTGTGATGGTTTTCGCTCCTTCACGTGGATTTACATTTCAGAAAACAGAGGGAAAATATCCCCCTAAGACAGCGGTCTCCATCACGTGGTCCGTAAGGCCGTAGATAGTTACCTCCATAATTGCCCATTGCACAACTGTTTTTTTTTGTTATTCAAAACTCAGCAACACAGCTGGCTATTGAATTAATCGGCCGATTTGTGGCAATGTTTCGAGAGAACATTTTAATTTAAAAAATGTATATTTTAATGGGGCATGGTGGTCTGCGAATCCATAAGAGGTTTGGTATCCACTATCTTAAAATATTTAATACGATCAAGATACACGACTTGATTGAATTATTTTAAAAAGTAATTTTAGATATACGGTGCTGTATTTATATAAAGTCCATTATAACAATCCCATTAATAGGTGTTCAATTCAATCGCAAACTTTCCCTGCGATAATTCCTTGCTGATTAGTGCAGAAACCACAGTTCACATAACAGTTTGTACCACTCAATATAGCAGTGCATTTATATGCAAAGGAGCCGCATTACGAATGCATGAGGAATTAACAGAAGAATTGTGTTTCCATTTAGGCGTTCGCAGAAAAGTGTCTGCTATTTCAGAGGGCCCTTTAAAATAAATAATGCCTCCTTCCTACATTCGTCTTTCCACACAAAATGCAACAGTATATTTTACACAACCCACTGGCCACACGGCCTTCTGGGAGTGCATAATGTCAACGGCATTGGTTCAACACAAGCAAATCTCTGGATCGGTTTCGACATCAAGTGTGTAATCGGTAGTAAGGCTTGCTTGAACCAAATGCTGGTGAACTGCCTGCTGTTTATAGGCAAGAAAACCTCTCTCTGTAAGAAATTGGTCCAGTATCATGCAAAACTATATAATATAGTACACAAAAAATAATAATGTCGTCATTTTGGAGAATTTTTATAAGGAAATTAAAAGTCATTCGAACAGCAAGCTGAACACGAGCGCACTTTTCTCATTAGCGTTACACATTTCAATGCGTTCACTCTTATTTTTTTACACTACAAGGCTGTGAATTAAATGATGAACCCCGAACACTCTGGTCACATGTGCGCTGTGTGCATATTCGTAAGCATGTGCACCGATAGTTAAAAGAGGTTAGCATTTTAGCAGGCGAGGTCTTCCAACTAATTGTCTACCACTAGTGGGAGCCACTAGCCGGGCACATGTCCAAGTTCATGGATAACTGCAAAACTATACTTGGCATTAAAAAAATAGCACGAATTAAAATCGGCTGGTGTCAGATGCCGCACAAAAAGACATGCCCGTTGACGCAAGGTTGTTTGCTTTAACCCGAACAATAAATGAAATGTACAGTTTTGATAAGTTGTGTGTGTATATATTACACATATATGCTGCACACAAAAATCAAGCCTAATGTTATGATCGTTTTATTGGGTTCCTATAAAATAGTCCGTTACGTACAATAGTACAAGTCATTGACGTTTGCTCATGTTATAGAACATTAATCATACTAATCGTGAACCTGTCTTTGCAGTTATGCGAAAGGCCTTTCCTCCGAGTCAATGTGAGAATAGCAATTGCACATTGTGGTCATGTCCTGTGTGGTTAACAAATCTGCAAAGTTCCAGATTGTCTTTAATCGTCTGCTTTTCACGTTATACCTTAATTTCTGAAACGCAACAATTCACAGCACTTTGTCAATGCACTGCTGGATGAAGGCCTCCCCACACCGTGTCGGACATCGGAGGCTACTTGACCATACTTCACCACGCTGATCAGTGCGGGCTGGTGAAGGGAGATGTCCCCAAGACCGCTTCAGACAACATTCGCCACCGGTGTGAGCCGCGGTCAGGAATCACACTCAGGTAATTGGGTTTACAGCGCCACACCACGAACCACTGCACCGCTTGATTGCAACACAGTGCCACATTTGGGTAATTAAAATGTCAATTTGGCCGACTAATTAGTGGGGAAAGCATAGTAATTAGTGTATCTGTCTATCATTTGCGGCTCATCTGAAACCCAAGGTATGCTACAGCTTTAAAAATAGTTCACACGAAGTTTGTAACATTTGCCATGCAAATTCCACGTGTGCATTTCTCAACTTACATCGATGCGTTTTTTTTTTAAATATATAACCACGTACCAACAAGGAACCGAAGCCAATTGGACGACAACAACAAACGAGGGCAAAGACGCATCGTTGCAGCACTTACCCGCAACATACCGAACAACAGCATTACAAGCAGCAGCAGCAGGCTTGCGAGAGAACTCCCATCCACCGGCCCACGTACAAAAAGTCACCCAAGTTGCACACGGGCAGCATTGTTATGCCAACGTCTCCGCGGTTGCACGCACAAAGCTGGGCTCGCTGCTCTCTCTCTCGCTCTCACTGCTCTCTCGCTGCACGGCGGATCTCGGCCGGAGCCGTTCACGCTCACTCACTCGCTCGCACAGCGCGCACGCTGTCTCCGCTCTCGCGGCAGCGGCGAAGCCAACGGAGGCGAGCGAGAGAGCCCCCGTGCGCTCTTCCCCCGGCGTAAACCATTCTCACCGGCGCCCTGGGGGGGGGGGGTGGGAAGGTGGCCAAAGGAGTGCCCTTGATAAACGAGCGTCAAGCATTCCATCTCAAAATCTATCAGCATCCCCCCCCCCACCCGCCCACCCCTCTAAAGTCCAGTCAGTGCCGTTTCTTATTCAATATGTCTATCGGGTAAACAAAGGTTACGCGCAAAGCCCAGCTCGGTTGATTGAAACGGTGTTTGGCCTGACAATAGAGCTCTGGCTCTACCCTGTGGAGTTGGTATAGATGCAGGCAACTGAAGTGTTGTTCCATTGGAACAAAAGCATGACAGCATTCGCGGAAATCACATTGTTTTGTAAGGGACTGCAACGGATGGCGGCCTTACCACTGCAGCGTTCATACGATGAGCTGAAAAAAACAAACAAACAAACAAACCCGTGGTCATTGTTATCTGCACACAAGAACGTGGGTGCTATAGCGAGTGAGGTGGATGCTGCAGCATTGCATGCGGGAACCGAAAGTAAAAATAATCAGTCGGCAATGCAGCTTTCGTCTATTGCACACCGTTGCTGTTATTCGGACCGTGCTGCCATCGTCAATGTATTTCTGCCTTAGAAAACATTAATAAACGCGTTCCTTTAAAAAAATTAAATTCTTATCACAACTACATTAATGTATCGTTAGAAGTTGTTACAAAACATGATTTCGTGAACATTTGTTTAATTATTTACTCCCCCTGGCCACGATAATAATACCTTTCACACTTAGTTTTTATTTTAATTAAAAAAACAACCCGTGAACTGTGCAACAAATTGAATTGTCATGCCTCCGAAATGAGATCCCATAAACCAGCTTATGTAACTATACCATACGTGGTTATTTACTACTCTCATATATTAAAGCTCTTGCATACACGGGAGTAATGGTGGTGGGGTGTTGCTACTTTATAATGAAGCATTGACTTCTAAGTTATTTAAAGAATCCGTGTGCAAGTACGCACGTGACTTTTCAAACTCGAATCGCATCAGTGCATATTTTTGTACAATTTTACAGACAATGGCTCATTATGAGCAGGTTGCCATGAGCCCGCTGGCAGTAAGAATTCTGAATTCCTGACGCTTAAAAAAAGGAGCCTGGAGCAATGCATTTCCCCAAAACACAACAAAGGGAGCCGTCAGTATCTGCAGCCAAGGCATCGCAGCACATTCTGGTCCTGTAATAGCTGGGAATACCGCTCCTGCTCCCTCGCCTGCCCATCGCCAACCCACACTGACCAACGTGGTGAAGTATGGTCAAGAATACAAAAAAAATCCCCGATGGCCGTTGGTGGATTGGTTCTCAGATGTCGCTCACCACTTCTGTTAGCCGTGGCTGGGAATCGAGTTTAGCTCTCTGGGTTCATAGCGCAGCACATTAACCACTGTGCCAGCGCTGCGTATACCATACTAGCATATACAAATCGTATAATAATACTTTCATTTTATATAGCGTCATTTATGCTAATAGCATCCCATAACGCAATTAAACAATGCAATCATATTAACGACTGTATATATATATATCATTTGAAAGAAATAAAAATGTAAGAAATTAAAAATAACTTCACAATTCAAAATGTGCAAGTCCCTCGCATTGGTAATCGTGATTATTTACTGCAATTCTAAACGAGCGTCGACGATGCCATCAGCGGTGCCATCAGCGGTGCCGCGCCGGCCGCGTGTAAGGGCCAAACGGGACTCACCCTGGCTGCTACGACACTCACTTACACCTGGCTAACAATGGAATTACAAGACTCACCAACTAACGGCTTTCGATAAATCATACCGATGAGTAGTTTATATTCAAAATTTGATGAGTAGTTTGCTATAGAGTTGCAGCGCTACGAACCCGGCAAAAGTGCAGGAGTTCAACTCCCAGCCGCGGCCCATATCAGCGACGAATCGAATCAGACCCAACCTTGCTCGAACCATACCCTGCACCAACTGAGTATTGTTAAACAAAATGGTCTGTATCCTTTGGCGACGTTCAAAAACATTGACTATGCTGCAGCATATATTTTTGAAACGCAATTTACATGTCTATCAAGAGGTGCTACTCACAAGCAATCACAACCGAGCAATAACTTGACTCGTCATGCTTTGTGCTCTTACAGGTCAAGTTAAGCCTCCTCTAAATACAATTAGCATTTTTGGAGAGGGCGTGTGTTCGCTAATCTATTCGTGTATTTCCCGTCCTGCTACTTCCGCTGATCATTGAGTGTACAAGCGCAACGACGAACGACTGCGTCGTGTGTTTGCGGTTGTGCCGCGCGAGATGCGCGGTGCGGTTTCTCGAAGTTGTGCCTTGCCTGCGTGTTACGTTCGGGGCACGATGTCCACCATTTCACTCGTCTCGCTCAATAAAAAAAAACCTCTGAAGACGCTGGCCAGCACGTGGATCAAAACGTCGGACCTTGTGCCGAGCAACAACAAGGGGGTGGGGTGGGGGGGGGAGCACGACCCCGAAAACACTTTGGAGATAATGACCGGCATCATTCAATTACTGAATGCGAAATACTCGAATTGGCGTCCACTGGCCAGGTGTGCCAGTGGAAACAAAACCCGTTGCCGTAATCTCCGCCGGCCATCGTACGCAGCAGGGAACCGCGCCTCGCACGATGCGCGGTTTTGCTCTCCTTGCGTGGATTTCGACTGGCCACAGTTACTGTCACCAGTGAGCCCTACATGCGAGACTTGAGGTCTGTTGGGGGCGGGGGGTGGAGGTGGTTGCTTTCTCAGCGGGGCAGCCCAAGCCAGCTGGGACAAGTTCTGGGAAAGCGGAGTGTCCCCCCATTAACCGGGCTCGGCAGCCTCAATATCATTCTCACAGCTTGCACGGGGGGGGGGGGGGGGGGGGGGGGGAGGGCTCCCAGCGCTGCATTTATTACATCTGCATCAATGTGCGGCAATGGTGGAGAAAAGGAGTTGAAGCAAGAGGATTTGGAGGGCTCGCGGGGTTGGGGTGCGGAGGGGTCCGGGGAGGGGAGCTCTGATCAAATGAATGTCTGGGCCCTGACTGTGGCTGCAGCTTCCTTCACACATCAGAGAGCACGGGGGGGGGGGGGGCTTTCAATGCCACACAGATGGGACCACTTTCTGACGGAATGGAAATGAGGGCCTTGCCGCAAAAAAAAAAGTCAGCAGATTGAATGCGTCTCCCACTTCCCGACGGTCGACGGTGAACAAACGTGAACACGTCGCTCCACAGTGAAACCCCTAGGCCGCGGTAATGCATTCAAACCGCCCAAAGGATCGGTGCAAAGCCCTTGCATACCCGTTACAATGCGCGACCCCTGTTAAATATTCCTCACAACGTGGAAGCAATGGTGAAAGTGGCGGTAATGTGCAATACCTGAACAACAAAAGATAGCGATGGCGCTAGATTTAGCGGAGACAAGGAAGCCTTTGCCGGTGCAATTTGCGAAAGCAATGGATCACTGGCTGCTTGATTACTTTATTTCAGACTTATCGTGTGAGTATGGTGGCACAACATTTGGCGAGACTAAAATACACACCTCCATTAAGAACCAGCGTGTGCATTTTCAAATCCACAAGCTTATTTAGAGGCCAGCAATAACTATATTAATTAAAATCAATCATTTTATAATCTATCGCTTTCAGCCCCCCTATACACAGCTCCTGATATGCATCTAAAAGGATAAAATGAAAGCATAATAAATATGAAACGCCGCAACATTTACTTAACTTGTGTTACCACCATCTCTGTAAACAAAAAAAAACACTGCTTTAATTAATTTATGAGCAATGATATATATATTTTTTAAACATCAGAAATGCAGCCTTCAAATACTAATACTGGGAAAAGTAAAACCAACTAATTTCAAAATTATAAAACTAGTTGCGGGTCAGCCAAGCTTTGGGGTAGTAATCGTTGCTCCCATCCCTCAACCACGGGTTGCATTTTTCAGCCTAAAGCGCGCTAGGGAGCGCATGAGAGTGCCCGCATGGCGATTAAAGCTCTCCCCGCATTAAAAAAATATTCACAATTGCATTTGCCCACGACCGGCATTGTAAGGGGAGATGAACATACCAAGCTATTTCACCAAGGTATCTACGCTCTAAAACCCCCCTTTTATTTTGATGGAAATTAGAAGCATACTCCCCGCCGTCTTTATCTGGGGGATTTATGAGCCGCGTGCAGATTTGTAATCATAAATGTCATTGCAAGCATTGAACACGCGGATTTCACAAACCAGCTGTGAGATGTTCTAAGGTTATTCTCCGCTACCTCTGTTAATTTATGGTTAGACAGAAAGACGTAAATATTAAAACCTGTGCTTGTATATATATTGAAAAAAACAAAAGCACATTCACATGCCAAATTATAAAAAAACACTGAATCTCACAGGAGTAACGTTATCTGAAAACATTTGCAAACGATCGTGTGAATTAATTTTTTCAGCCGGGCTTAACACGTTCACGGACCAGGTATGTGTCACGATTACCAAAGCAGAAAAAAAACCCGACTGGATTAAACTTTACAATAAATGCATTGTTCACAGGTCACCTTCATGCGAATTGTTGCAAGTAATAGGCCACCACACTACAGAATCATTACACACGTATGCATTTTAAATGATCAGAGAGTTACTTCAAATGTAGAGAGTTGACACTGCTTCATGCGTAATCTTGTCATGTCTTTCATGATTTAACGCGGGTTTTTTTTCGAATGAATTTCAAAACGGGTGTATATTTTTTTTGCAGATATGACGGCATCATCCAATACAGAGCGTTCCCGGATTATAGAGATAATAGTCGCTCATGACCTGGGTCAGCAAGTGTGACTTAAAGCAGCGATATCACACTTTCGCTCATGTTCCAGTCGCAAGAAACTGCATTGTTATCGCTTCACAAATCCTCTGTGCCAGCGATGCGCCGAATTCCAATGGAGGAAATGTAACCAGGCTATTTCGAACATCCAGGGTGGGTGGAGCGGGCTCGCTCAGTGGCGAGTGGCACTGCACCACGAACCCGGCAACCCGAGCTCGATTCCGGCCGCCCACCACCCAAAAACCTTTAACTGGCTCGCACCGATCAGAAATGGCGAAATGTCGCCAA